ATTAATGCTTTTTGCTCTATTGAGCTTATGTTTTGTTTAATTTTGAAAGGTTTTTCTAGAATTATTTTTGATCTTATACGAAATTCTTCCTGTTGTTCATCAGGTAAATTTTGAGTTGTTTCTTCTATACTCGAAATAAAATCAAGTTTTGGAACGGTTTTTAAGTTCATTTAGGTTCTTTTGATAACGATAGCAGAAAATAGCTATCGAAACGTCAAGGTAATTTTTCAAATTAATTTCTCTACTAATTGGAATTTTCTCTTACAGCTTTAGCCTAAGTGTGTCGCAGGATACCCTCTAGGTGATAGTTCTTGATAAATAATTCGTTCTTATCGCGATATAGGAGCACTATTCATCAATCTGTAATAAAAGACGTGAGGAAATTCTGTCTTTTTTAAAGACAAAAATTTTTGAGGCGAAATACCCAAAAAGAAGTTTGTAAAAAAATCTATACCTGTTTCAATATGAATAAACTAAATAGAATAATTGTAAAGAAGAGAGCGGAAACCGGTCTAGACAATAGAATTTACGATTACCAGAGAATCGATCTATCATTCTGAAACCAACCTAATATTCTCCGTAGAATTTCCGAACTCAGCGGGGATCAATAAGCCAAATTCCTTCTCCTAATCTCGAAAAATCGTTTGGCCCTTTGCAAATGAATCAACCAATTTGTTAATCGGGTGATGGATAATGTTTCTCCATCGATTGGAATCCTATTATGTAATTATCTTAAGAAAAACGAGAAAAAGGAGAAAAGGAAAAAAAAACGGATGATATAGGAGACTTTTAATAACATGAGTCTCATCTGTATTTTTAATCAGATTAAGTACATTAAAACAGGGACGTTAGTCAAGAGAAGTGTGATTAATTCTTTAAGCCTCAGTTGATGTTTGCAATCAATAATTGCCGCAATTTTTCTCCACTCTAATCATTTAACGCCGTTTCTAACACGAAATTACTAACTTGTTTATGCATTGAAACTTTGCTTTTAATCAGAGAATCGCAAGCATTAAGGGATACATGTATAACCACCACAGTACATAAACAAACAATGAATTTCCTGTTACACTTGAATGCTAATTTGACGTTTTGGTACTTTGGGTTATCAAGCTTTTCGATACTTACCTTATTCGGCGCTTCAGAATTTGTTATTTGCTGGTCCAATATTGTAGGCTCCGAGAGCAAGTTGCCAACTGTTTACCGAAACATTTCCGAATATTTGTTTAACGCTCCTGACTGGTGATGAAATGGATGTTACTATTTTAGTATGACATACCGACTGTTCTCTATGCATGTCACAACTTAGTCGCGTACGACACACCACTTAATTACTGAACTAACAAGAACACTACAGTTTATTCTTTATGGCACTGGAGCGTTTAATAATTAATTTTTATATATAATTATTGTGTGGGGAAGAGGATCTAGGGGTTTTAAATGATGATAGGACGTTTAAAATGATGGCTTAATTTAGTTTTCCAACTTGTCACCTGCAGTGGCAAAGCGTAGCAACGGTAATTTAAAACACTGTTGGTTGTCGTTCGTCCCAGTGTTTTATACTATTTGTCGGAACAGCCGTACTTGTAACTAATTTCCGTCTCTTCATCAGCTTCAAATTAGCTTTTGCACTTGCTGAATACCAATTTTGCCTTCAAACCGCCAATTAT